CTTTATTATCAGCCCTAACTATACCACAGCCCCCCTCGGCCCCCGCTCACTCTCAGACCTCTCATCAACTCACAGTTGCTTCTTATTGACCTGTTTTTCTTCAATTCTCCAGTGATATGACGTTCTGCTCTTCCCCATCATCCAACTTTATTTTTCGCTTTCTTTCTGTGCAAACGAAAGGCTCTAACTTTTAGTCTCCCAGATCATTATCCGAGTTGAATCTACTCTCGAGTTCTGTTCTTCTCAAGTTTGAACTGGAGTTTCTAAGTGTAGAAAAAGAAATCTTGACTGATGTAGCTTTGATATTATCCTAAAGCAGGGGCCACCAACTATGTTTGTTGAGTTTATTATTTGATATTTATTTTGGAATCCAGTCGTGGGCTGGATTAGGCGGTTCAGTGGGCAGGATTCAGGATATTCCTTTTTGCAGAGGCTGTAAATTCACTGCTTCTGAATTATAGGTTCATTTTTAGATGTCAGTGGTTTCCAGTACAGGGGGCCTGCCCTCAGGGAGCACAGATTGAAAAGATTTTGCACCATTTAATATTTTTGTTTCCTTTGTTCAATGGATTACTTGTTCAATGATGGATTTCAGTGATGACTTAAAGCAGGGGTGTCAAACTAATTTTGGTTTTTGGGCGACATTCAACCTAGATGTTTTTCCCCTTTGTTTTCATGCAAAGAAGTACGTAAATTAATAGTAAGTAAATTAGACATTTATTATTATTTATTCATATTGAATTTAATATAATTTTACAAAAAATACATTGTGTATATTTTATTTTCATCAATTCATCAATTCAATTCATCTAGCGGGCGGGATTCAACAACCTAGAAGGTTTGTTTTTGGCCCGCAGGTCGTATGTTTGACACTCCTGATTAAAAGCAATTGCTGTTTCAATATGGGGATGGGGGTTGACAATAATCCTATCCAGTTTGGGACCCACTTGTAGATGTCATGTGACATCATGTCATATCAATGTCTATCAGCCCTCAACTTTAAAGCACTGCTCGTTGGCATGAAACATTTACACTTAGAAACAACATTCCATGGAGGGAATGGTAATTCCATCACACAGTGGCTGTATATCTTGTGGATAAATGGTAGGGGTGTGGACAGCCGGTGGCCTTTGGTTAAAAGCTCAAACTATGCAGGAAATCTGAGTGAAATCTGAGAGGACAGGATCAGAAAAATCAATCAATGAAACAATTCTAGGCTGAAGTGTCCACTGTGGTCGACCACCGGGATTAGAAGTGGGAGGAGCGTCGGTGGAGAGCTGCCTTGAGGAAGGAGGACATGAAGACCATTTTTAGCAATTCTGAAAAGAACACTCAAGAAAAGAAGTGTTATTTTCTTCTGTCTTCTCCATGAGTGTTTACAGAAATCAGCGCAGCAGCGCAGCCAGCTGGTCATGTTGCTGGATTAGAGTGTTATGATCTCTGTTCCTCTACTTACAACCCTAAACGTACTCCCTTGACAATTATTCCCAAACCCAACCACAACTCTTCTCAGCCTGTCTGCTTTCGTCTGCCAGCCGGAGTGCGTTTCTGCTGTCAGACACACACTGTGGCTCGTGGAGCAACACGCTGCTCAGCTGAGACGCTGTTCTGGCCAGTCAGCTGTAAACAGCCTGTAATTCCACTGAACCAAAGCCAATAACCAATGAGTACTGCTGAAAAAAATGTGGCTCTAGTTTCTAGGATCTCAGAATAAGGAAAAAAATTGACATTTTTTTTATGGCAGCTTAAAATAAGTATATTTTTCTCCAAACTGTTTTCAAACTAGTTTGGCTCTAGGTTTGGGTGCCCGCTACATAGTAAATTACTCTTACTCCTTAACTAATGCACCGAAACTAATATGTTCCGTAGTGTAGCCGTTAGCATGCCTACCTTGCTACCACAGAGCAGAGCAACCACATATCCCTAACGGCGCCACCTTGGTCAGTTGCAAAGACTCACACTGTAAATTTCTCACTTCTCAATTCCTCACCCCGATTTAACCAATTCAGGGGCAAAGCCATTAAAGCTGCTACAGGTTTGGCTCCATTTGAGGTATGTGAAAAAAAACTTTTACAACCCATTATTTTCACCAATCTCTCAATTTCCTCGTGCTTCCATAGCCATGTTATCATACCTATTCACTACTAAAACGATTGCTAAATCAGGCCAGCAGATAAAGCCAAGTGTTTGAGCGCTATATGAGGCGAAGACGACGACGATGTAGCTTGAATTAGAGGGAGGGGAAATTCACAAATGCGCTTTCCTCAGAGGATGTCTTCAAATGTGATGTGGAACAGTTTTTGTTGCCAGATGCTCTCCTTAACGGAGAAAACAAGCAAAATGTTAACCTCACTGTGAACTTTATTCCCTGGTTGTGTGGCCTGATCTGGCAACCAGCACACTGGCACAGACTACATTACAAAGGCTGCTCTCTCCCTGTCTGTGCATGTGTCTTCATCCAGGTCACATTATCCAAAGTAGGTCAGTAGAAGGCAACTGGACTGTCTGTGTTTCTTGAAGACGTCTCACCTCTTCATCCAAGAGTCTTCCTCAGTTCTAACCATCTATCTATCTATCTATCTATCTATCCATCTATCTCTCTACCTATCCATCCATCCATCTATCTATCTATCCATCCATCTATCCATCTATCTATCCATCCATCCATCCATCTATCTATCTATTGAAGTTGGCCATCCATCTATCTATCTATCTATCTATTGAAGTTGGTGTTTGAATCTAACTCCTCTGCTGAGTGATGGTTTCTCCAGGTTTCCTTCACTCCTCCTTAGAACCATTTGTCTCCTCTGGCAGGAATATGTACATTTTCAGTCAAGTCCTTTGTCCTGGTGCTGACAAACAGCTGAGAGCCCTGACCTTCACATTTATACGACATCCGCTCAAATGACACATCATTTGATGCTTGTCACTGCAAACTCAATGTTGATGTGCAGGAAGCAGCAAGTTCCACACATCATTTCAGCAGGTGCTGTGATGATAATTGTCCAGTTGTGGCATCAGATTTCAAAACTGACTGGTCTCTGCAGCAGCCACATACAACTGGGTGTAATAACGCGGAGGTCACCGCTCATGAATGAGGGACAGCAGCAGTGGGGAGATGTGGGATGTCAACAAAGTCAAGTCAAAGTCAAAGTCAGCTGTTAGTCTCACTTCTACCTGATGGATAGGGAAGACGCTAAGAGCAACAACACACCTATTTAAACCAGGCGGTCTCCAACCCTAATGAGCTGAGGGTTCACTGCTGCCACATCAGTGTCCGAGTTACACAACATAAAAAAGATTTTAGTTTTAGGTTACATATACTATATTATATAATATACGTATATCCTCATTCTTAAATAATCAACAAAAGTATTTTAATGGTTGAAAATGTTAAAATAAACAATAATAAATAATAAACATATATATATAGAAAAACGCCTCAAGTGCAAAATGAAATTATTATTAACCTCTCGTTAGAAGCTAGGTGTGGGCATTTGTGGACTGGATGTGGCCCTCGACCCGGGAGTTTGCACCTTAACCCCACTCACTAATTAAAGCAAAAGGTATTGAAAGATGACGATGATGTTAATAATGGTAACATGAAGTTGTATCAGTGTACTTCAGGGTGAAATCATGGTAATTATTTAGTGATGAACAATAACTTTAATAACTTTTAACTGCTAACATTAGCACTGATCAATGCTAATGCCTGATCAAAAATTAAAATTCAATAGGTTTCTATATGCTACGTCATTTTATACACAGTGTATAACTTAAATACTGCTTATCTTTACTTGTACCGTACACGTTTACATGTGCTGTTTCGGCACATCTGCTGTGTTCCAGCTCCTGTTCAACGGCCCCCTCTTCAGTGGCTGCCTCTGCCGTCCAGCACTAAGCTGCATGTGTGACAGATGGCACAGCTGCACTTAACATGGACTCATTTTTTCACCATTTACCATATAAACTGCAGAAAAGACTCCTGGGTAAAAAAACAAACAAAAAGCCTCCGGCTTTCCAGGAATCAGAGATGTAGATGCAGGACGATGAGAATGAATGACATGAATGTGCATGAAATTGATCGTCCATTGAACTGCACATGTGCACAAACCATTCTTCATACATACTTCTGACTTAGAGGGGAGCAAGGGGTGTGTGTGATCATATTCTACATGTAATACACAGCGGGTGACTGTTTTATATAGTGCGTGTGAGAGACGACAGTGCAGACTGTGACTCTACAGGCTGCTGTCTTCACTGACTAACAGCACACTTTAACACAGTGATCTTCCTCTGAGCCAAACATTGATCCAGAAACAACACATTTCTGACTTTTTTTTATGATCAATGAGGATCTGACTAAAGTGTGAAAATATAATAGTTTATGTCATCGACAGTATTTTAAGTTTTTCTGCAGTGTCCTTTGCAAACAGTGTAGTTTCCAAAACACTTAAACCTCAAACCTTTAGTTTGGGATGCAAATTTTATATTAACGAGACCAGTGGTTTTCCATCTCCTAAACATCAAATAAAGATTCCTGTTCCTTTAGTTGCAAAATAAAAAAATAAAAAAATCCACCAGTGTGGTATTTAATATGCAATGTTTAAAATAAACAAAAATATATAACATTTATTGCAGGATGTATAAATGTCATGAATTGTTAATCAATGTTCTGCTTTTGGTGATAGAAGGTAGCCTCCTTTAAAAGTATTGGTTTCTGAATCACTATCGCGATTTGCATTGCAATGCTCAGTGTTGTCCTACCCTTGATGGCAAATTCTGCAGTAGACAAACTTTTCAAACTTAGCTAAAGTGCTAATCCTAGCTTATTTTACCAGTAAAAAGTGTCAATATCATAATGGGTATCGGTATTACTATTTACATCACTTTACTCACAGATATTGCCCCATCCACCGCAGGCTATTTGTTTTCTATTTACCTAATACAACTTTTTTTTGCAATCCATTCTCTACCATGACCTGAAGGTTCTTTCCTACCTCCAGGACAGATGCCTTTTGTTCCATTTGTTCTGAACGATCACACTGCGTTTCCTGCGACCTTGCGTTGTCGCCTCGGTCTCAGAAACATCTGGCAGAGAACATCTGGGTGTTTTCATCAGCCCCACTGTTGCCTGGTCTGAAAAAAGTAAAAAAAAAAAAAGAACCAAAGGAGAGAACATTATAACGCAGCTGCAGCAGCAGATATGAGTTCATGTCTACATGGATCCACAGCAGGGCTGCAGCCCAGGCTCTCTGGGCCATAAGTCACACGTGTTTTTTCAGATACCATCACCACAAGTACAATCTCACACTTTTACACTTATGTTCAGGTCATAAATTCTGTGAGCGCACAGTGCAGTATTTTCAGTATGTCACAGGAACTTATCGTCAGAGTTTATATGTTCTCACCTTCTGCTTTTATCAAAAACTTTTTTTATATTTTTGAGAACTTTGACTGGTTTTACGACCGGCTGTAAAACTTTTTTTGTGTCAATTTGTAGTTATTTTTGGACTAAGGTTTACTTGAACTTTGACTTTTGGTCTTTCTAGTCCTGGACAAAGTACATCTTACTTCAAACTTAAGCTTATATTTAATAATTATTATATATACATGTATATTTGTATATATGTCAATATATTTGCAAATCCCATAGGTAGCATATCTATAGCTGTATTTACATACATATATAGACCCATATATATACATAGACACACACATATGTATATACATATATGGACATATATACTTTTTAAGACACATTTTTAAACATCTTAACATCTTAATATAGTTTTGTATTTTTTTATTATTATTATTTTTTTTAATATGTGAATTTTAATACATAATCATTTCTTTGTATTCATTTTCTATTGCATTTGGTGGTTTAGGCTTATGTTTAATATCACAAGCGTTATTTTCCACTTTTTCAAACTAATTATTTATGGTGAAAAAGCCCAAGCTTATATCTGTTGAATATTTCCTGGACAATATTTTTCATTAGGCCTTTTCTAAACATCATGGACAAATGAGTTGGGCACCTCCATGTCTACGGCAAGTCTGAAACCTAACATGAAAACAACATCATACTATTCCCTCCATCCTCACAAACACCACATTAGTGGTGCGGCGCCCTGTGGTCTTGTATATGAGATGGAGTGGTGACTATAAATTATACAGTTAATAAACTGGTGCATATGTGGACATGCCTGTGTGGGAGTAACGATGTCAACTGTACATGTGGGAGTGAACACAAATCAATATGCCATTACACTGTATTACAGTTATCACCATCACTCGTGGTGGGACGGAGAGTGAGATTTATGAACATGTAGAGACTCGTGTAAAAACATCTCTGTAATCACACACAGGGAGGTGGAAAGGGTTTGAAACAGGCTCTATCACCCAGTTCTAGAAAGTACCATCTTATTGGCTAGATCACTTCAGTTTTGATCCACATCAATTTCATTCTCTTGTGTCTCACACAGACTACTGTAGTAGTCTGTATATTTATGTGTTTTTGGGCCATTCGAAAGTATAATCGAGAAACTTTTCAGATACTTATACTTCAAATTTATATTTGCTGTTAATGACTTTCTTCGGTCCTTATAGCTTCACAGCTGCCATCATCTCAACTAGTTTTTTGTATTTTACTGTAGTATTTTCAGCAATTTCTGAGCTATTATATATAGCTTCTTTTAGTCACTTGGAAGTTAGGCTGTATTTGGCTAATGTTTAGTTTTAAGTTGGAACGTTTTTTTTAGAAACTAATTACATAAAAGGACACTTGGATTAGATCAAACATTAGTGATTATATTTTGACCAAGTTTTCACAAAACATTTATGCTTTTCTTGACAGATGCTCAAATGCTACACATTTAGCATTTGAGCTGACTTTTGAACACATTTGGCTAACATTAAATCTTGGCTATTTGTCTATCAAACTCTAATGTTTACCTCTTATCTATTTCTATAACTTGTTGTTATATTTTAATACACTTTGGACAACCTGGACAAACTTTGGACAACGGCTTACCGTTTGAACTATATTTTTGGCTTTGTTTTCAACAAGCCAGCTGAAGTCCAGGGACAGTGAAAAAACTCAGAACTTGTTTTGTTCAGTTCTGCATTTAAAAGTTAAAAAATAAATAATTCATACAGTTAAAACTAGTTGTCTTTGAAGTAAAAATAATTACTGCTGTTGACTATTTTTATCGTAACATTCATGCATTTTTAAATATTTGTAAACACCACAGCAATTTCTGTGGACATCGAACCAACATCTGAACCCTGGTCCATACCTAAGACTCCAGTCTCCTTCAGTCCTCCAAACCTCTGCATGGCTTTGATGGCCTTGGTCAGGGCCTCCTTGGTCTGGAGCTGCCCAGTGACTTGGTCTGGAGGAGAGAGGTATCCAAATCTGCTCAGCCAGTCCTGCAGCGGAGAAACACGAGACAGTGAGCTGTTTAGAGCCGGCTCTTGGATTTCAAATATTCCAGGAGTCCCAGAGCTGCGACAGAGACCGTCTGACACCTGTTTGTGTTTACCATGTGTGGATTCTGTGTCTGTATACACACAGATACCTGCAGCCAAGATTTGTACACAGATGTCGGAGGAACGTCTAAGCACAAACATAAATCCCACAGTTTAGCAGAATTAGAAAGAGAGGAATGTTTTACAGCAGATATTTGGAGGCTGCGAGACAGGAAGCTGAGTTGTTTCACTGTTTTCCCAGGTCAAATTCAAGGACTTGTTGGCTATCCCTTTAGCATCATGTCATCATCTTTTCTAACCTTTAGCTCTTGTGCAACATATGTTTGGATAATTTTCTACATATTTATTTATTTATTTTTAATATCTATTTATTTTCTTGCTTTCTTAAAGTTAACCCTGAGCTGGTTCAGCTAACTCATAATCATTATTTTGGTGAATGGCTAATGTGTAGCTTGTATATAGTATATATTTTTAAATACTTTTGGCAAGTTAGGAATTTCTCTGTCTTTGTTCCTGGAGAGTTCTTTTTGTATTTGTTTTTAGCCAGTTACCAAAGAAGTTAGCTGTAGTCATCGTTTGGTACTGCTTTAAATCTGTGAAAATATTTTTAATATAAACACCCTTTTTTTAATCTAAAAGTGAGGCCAGATAAAGATATGAATTAGCTAAATGGTATATAATAATTAGCCAACAGCGAACTAAAAGCTAGCAAAACACAAACAGTAGCAAATCCCGCAATTTATCCCTCAAATTGTTAATCTCATAAAGTTAACAAACATACCAGACATAAAATATAAATTACAAGTGAGCTAAAATGATAGTGAACAGGTAGTGGAGAAGTCACCAAAAGTGAGACATTTTGCTTAAAATGTCACTCAAAGCCAGCATGATGTTAGCACAGAAATATTGTCGAAAGACCTTAGCATTTAAAATGTTGACGAGCAAGTCAGGATAAAGCTATCTCTAAACGTCATAGTTTAGAGATAGCTTTAAAATAGATACAAAATATTGAAGAAAATTTAAATTTAGAAAAAAAAAAGGATCAAACTGAGATATAATGTAGGGCAGGTACAGGTGGAGGTTCAAAAATCTTCAAGTATGCATCACAGACAATATTTTAATGTAATTTTAAGTGACATTAAAATGCATTTTTAAGAGACATGGGACACTTTTGACTCATTGCTAAAAGTAAAGTAATAGTCACTGCCACCTTTACTGCCAGGTGGTTGGAACCTGACTGAGATATAAAACAGCAGATGAAGGCGGGTTTATGATTGAGACATTCTGTAATAAATATCACTTCATTTCTGGAGCCCCATCAGTCCGTAGACCGAAGGAGAGAAAAAAAATGGAGGAATTAAATGATGTAAAAAATGTTGAAGTTGTAGGTAAACTGGAGAAATAAAAAAAGTAGAGGACCAGCCTTACTAGAGAAAGATTACACATTTGAACAACTCTTTGAGAAATATCAACCCTTAAACGCCTCATGTGAAACAAAGAGACTCAAGTATGTCATTTAGGAACATAAACCTGAGTCCAAAGGTCCAAAGTGACAGTAGAGAACATGGCCTCAGAACAGATATAGCATCAGAATCCCCAACTGGGAACAATTATTCCTTCAGAACGCTGGCAAAGTCATTATGTCTACGTCAGTTCCAAAGTGCTCTGGGTTTTTAACGTAACAAAAGAAAAGCACTTTGAGGGGGTTCAACATCCAGTATAGAAGAAGCATGAAAGACATTTATGAATGTTCCCAGAGAGAGAGGATAAAATAGCACTGAGTGACTAATTAGAGTGAATGACACAGTGACATGTAACAGTGGGCTGGTGTTATAGCAGGTTAGCAGCTGAATGGGAAAACTGATGAATGTCACTCAGACTCAGACTCTGGTTCACAATGACTGAGTCTAAATACAATTAGTGTTCAACTGTAGTTTGGATTCTTTGACAGATTAACATTTGAATAAAGAAATTCACATTCAATAAGGTGCGAGTGCTAATACTGTGTAAACAGTAATATACAGTTGAGAAACTGTACAGTGGTGAAATATGACAGCATGTATGAAATATACTGAAATGCAGAGTGCTAAAGCATACACAACAAAATTAGTTCCACAGAAATATTTTAAGTATTGATTGATGATATAATTATCATTTACTTTTTTACATATACTATTTACTTTAACTATGCAAAATACCATTACCAGTTTAAATACGATTTAAAAAACACTTTAATAACGCACATTTCTTTACAGAAAAATTGCATGTTTATCTGCATTTATCTCCTCTTACTAAAAGTTAAAAAAAGCGAGTCTCATTCACCTCGCTAACTGCCAATATAATAAACAACAAAAGAATATTAAAAAAATGTTAACTAAAATAGCTCCTTTCTTTACAGAAACACTGAAATAGTTATAGATCTTAAATAAAGAAAAAAGAGCCTGGGTCAGTTGCAAGGACTCGCACTGTAAATTTCCCCATTGTGGGATGTTCAAGGGACTAATTCTTTTTATTTTATTGGGTTGAGTCAATTTTTATGTTGGGAGGTGCGGCTGATGCCTTAGTCAGAGTGAGCTGTGTGTGCATCATGTCTGTACATTTACAACTATTGCTTCAAAAATCAGCCCCAATTTCCTCATTGCAGCAAGTGAAATGAATTAATGTTCCTTTCTGTGTCCAGACCCTCCCTGCAATAACTGACCGTCACCTAAGGGGGAGCCTTCCGTCCCTTTGGAAACTGCTGCCTTAAAGGAGGACAACTCATTTGTAACAACAGAAACAGCCCTATGTCAGTGTGCAGCAGACTGATGCTAGCTACTGTATGGTCACCTTGTCAGTGGTAGTGCTATGTTAGCATTTAGGCTATAACATGGAAACACGCAAATATTTCTTTTTTGGGACCATGCAGAAGAAGCAGTGATGTGGCTTGTGGGTTGTTTGCTAGAAATTAGGTAGCAAGGCACCGCTGGCTCAGCAGCTGCTAGTTCAAGGCCACAGGATTTTCATTCATTTCACAGTGTATTACTGGGCATAATGGTAATGAGCATACCCAGGCATCAAATCTCTGGCAGGTAAAAGATGAGCTTTTCCATCCACTGATCCATAGCTGACAACTAAAGGTGAGTCAATCCTGTGCCAAATAAACAAACACTGTTGCTTTGTTCATGTGGAAACAGTGTGTTTGTGGACAAAAGTTTGCCGTGTCCTGTGACTTTTGTCATTTATTCACCTGTCAGCGCAGCGAGGACAGTCCGCCCCGAAGAAACTAACTTCAACTTTGAGTAAAAGCATAATTAACTCTGATGCTGACAAACAGCCACTATCTGTACAAGTATAGACCTGCTATAAAGGTAAAAAAGGACAGGCCAAAAAAAAAAAAAGGAGGGATGGAAGATGGCCGACGACACTTTATTCTCCCGCAGCCTTGTAAACATCAAATTAAAGCTTCGCCTATGATTTCACATTGACAGGGGGATAAATCACTCACCGCCTGAGTGACATTGACCAAGAAAATAAAAAAATAAGTCAAAGTATAAAGAAAAAAGATGCACACAACAACAGCCGAGGCATAAAGAAACCAGCAGCATCCTTCTGTCCTCAGTCCCTCTGACCTTCCTGAAGGAGGATTTATGTTCCCCTCAGAACAGGATCACAACAAAGGGTTCCGAGTGATACAGGTGAGGGAGCAGCGTCGCCTTGTTTGGGGTTTTAACACCTACTGAAATTCTTTGATTCTTGTAAAAGTTTGTGTGTTTTCAGTAAAATGTTTGTTATCCACAGTCTGGTTTAAAAGTTCTCGTGTTAAACTTGTAGTTTTTTGTTCTATTGTTAAGAGAAAACTTTTCAGTTTACATCTACATTCACGCTGAACACAGCTGCTGTTTTCTATTCAGGACAAAATACAGCCACAGTTTTAACATTCATGCTTCCAGCCAAGAGGAGTTTAGCATTTTATGTCTGTTTTATTTAAAAAAAAAAAAAAGTAGAATATTTCTCAATGTGAGTTGCATTATAAGGAAAAATGTAAAGACCAAAAATCAGAGTGGATTTGTTATTTTAAAACAAAGATTTTGCAGAATTTTACATACTTTCCACTTGGAAACACAACCCATCTTTTGTTTCAAGATTTAAGGATTGGAACGACGAAGGATCGACATTTACTGGGATGGGACATGTATTTGTTCTGCACCATTAAAGTCTGGAAAGAAACAAGTTTTGAGTTGTTTCTTTCTTCGCCATATTTCAATTCACACCGAGTTCAATAATCAGATGCAGACAGAAAACTTAGTTTGCAAGAAATCCAACTGAAGACCAGAAGTGTTCAGCCTTGAAGTAACTCTCACCTAAACTTTTACTCAAGACTTTAGATCACCTGTCGAACAAGGCCTGCGGGAGCTTAAATCGTGTTTACCAGACAGACTATTACAGACTTTAATAAAGTCTATGTCACATGTGTCAAACTAAGACATGCAGGCCAACTCTGGCCAGACAAGTTCTTCTGTGTGGCCCACAGGAGCTTAAAAAGCATTTAAATGCACTAAAATAAAATCTATGCCACATATGCCAAACTCAAGGTCTGCAGGCCTAATGCAGCCCACCCAATCATTTTGTATGGCCCAAAGGAACTCAAAAAGCCTTTGATTGACTTTTAATAAAGTCTATGACATGTGTCAAACTCGAGGCCTGTGGGTCAAATGTGGCCCATCAAGTAACAGTAAACCTGGAGTATGCGCAGTGGTCCGCAGAGGAAACCAAATGTTTGGGCTTCAGCTGAGTTTCAAATGAAACTTGATAGCAGCACATGGAAAAAAGAAACTTAGCTGAACTGGCAAAGAAGTCCAGAAGGCTGGGTTTTCCAAACGCCAGATCAAATTCCGTAAAATGACCTATGTCCACTTTGGTTCCACTTAAAGTGGTATGAATGAGAGCTGGTTGCCAGA